GATGCGTTTGGGTTCGAGCCGACAGTGTAGTTGAGTCTGTTAATTCAGTCAAGGTGTTGAATAATGTGTTGCTACTGGGGAATTCTCAGTCAGGTTGTGGGTGCTTTGTGGAAAAAAAAAAAAAAAGAAAAAAGAAAAGAAAGGGGGAAAAACAAATCTGTCCCTATAATAAAGAATCAAAAAGGCATCAACCACATACATCTGGTCAGTGTTCATTCCATTCAGCATACATTCTGGCCCTCTTGTGGGTTTAATAAAACAAAACAAAAACAGTTTGAGATGACGTGGCTTCGATATAACAAACGGACAGTTAGTACGGACATTCGCACACAAGTGTGTTGGTGTGTGAAGGGGGGGGGCCGTGCAAGAAAGACTGTGTCGATAGCGATGTGCAAAGAAAAGGCGACTGGTCTGAGATTAAGAGTTAAGGCCGAGGTGATGCAAACAAGAGATGACCCCCATCTGATGTCAGCGAAATCACCGATGTTTCTAATCTCACAGTGCCTCCAACATGAAGAGGAGAAAGAGTGCGGAGCCGCGGTAAAGCTTTAAAAAAACGCCACCGGTAGATAACTTAAGAGGGAGAGGTGAAGAGGAGATTCGTGGCGTAGGATGGACGAGCCCGCCAGCTAACTTTTTGAACAGATATCTGTCGCCGTCCCTGCGCACTGTGTTGAGTTGATTAAGACGGAGTGCTTCTGGGACTCCTGAAACACCCTTTTGCAGATAAAATACACAGCAGACAAATCTGTTTGGTGATTCTGCAAAGTTAGCTGGGTTAACTTCTCAACGCTGCCCCTTTTTTTTCTTCTTTTTTTTTTAGGTTTCAGAGGAGGCCAGAGAGAGACAGCAAAAGCAGGACCTTAAAGGTTCATGCCAATACACTAATAATAATCGGTCTAAAAAAAGCAAGATCACAGCAGTAGCAGCAGCAGCACAAAGCTAGGACAGTTTGGCTGTTCGACACTTTATAAAACCACACAACTATGAGCGTCACTTCTCTACGTTGAGTCTAGACTGCAGACGCGTCTCACCACTGGCTTACTAAAGGCAGCTTCCTAAGCTTTTTATGTGAGAAAAACCCTCTGAGAAAGACAATTGCAGTATGTCTGGCAATAATACATAAAAAAAAAAATGGTTGGATGGTTGGTGATTGTGCAAGTTCAAAATATTTCAGCGCATGATGAAAACCCGATATAATTCAGTGTTTAAAATATTTACAAGGTCTAAATGATAGTAAAATGATATGCCGACAATGCTCTCAAAAATATATATATATAAAAAAAAGGAACACAAAAAGCGAGAGGGCGATTCAGAGCGCGACACCAGAGTACTGTGAAGCCTCGAAATCAGCCCTCAATGTCGTTCAGTGAGTCTTTTCAGAGAGCAGGTGAGCAAATCCTAAAACGAATGGACGTGGCGACACGCTCACACACGCTTTACACACACACACACACACACACACACAGTGATCCAACCACAGAGGAGGGCCCTGATTTCTTAGAGTTGCGTACCCACGGCTGCTCCCCGACCTAAACAGCCGTCATCCCCGCAGTGGCTCCGCCTGTCGAGCGGCCGAGTCCGAGCCGCTGGGTGGGACCGGTGGCGCCCGCTGCCATGCTGTGTGTCCATATGGCTTTGGATGGAAAGATCCTAGTCTCTCTCTCTCCATTTATTCCTATCCCCGTTCGCCTCAGTTGGTTTTCATGGTGACGTCTCGATTGGGCGCCTGCTCCTCTTCCTCTTCTTCCTCCTCCTCCTCTTCTTCCTCTTCCTCCTCTTCCTCCTCCTCCACACTCCTCTTTCCAGCTCCGCCCAGCAGGGAGGCTCGGAGCCTGAGCGGCGCTGCTGACATCCTGGCCTCTTCCCTGCGGAGGGAAACAGCTCTCGGAGTTGGCGGCGGCGTCGAGGAGGCCCTTCTGGTCCTGGATCAGCTCACTCTGGTTCTGGAGGAGGTTCTGGCTCGCCTGCTGCGGGTGTTGCTGCCTGGGGTCGGAGGTCAGAGGGTAGCTGTCGTACTCCTGCAGGCAGCAGCTGAGAGCTTTGTCTCGGTTCAGCTGTCTGCTCGTGTGAAAGTCCGGTCTCTCTTCCCTGAGATGCATTTGAGGACCGGGGCTGGATATAGTCGGGGTCTGCGGATAATGAGGACTCGGTCCAGGGGTATTGGGGCTACAGAAGGGCTGGGGGGCGTTGTTGTCGTGGCAACCGTCGTAGAAAAACTGAGCGCCGGAGGAGTCATCAGCAGGCGATGAGCTGAACTCCATGGAGCTCCATCTGCCGAGGCCCACCTCTCCGGACGTGGAGCCCAGCGGAGAGCACTGCAGCTGGGACAGAGTCGGACCCAGAGGCCTCCAGGCGTCCTGAGCGGGACCAGGTGTGACACCCTGATCGTACACGCCGCCGCCGAGGTGCGTGTGGGCGCTATAGGGCAGCCTGTTCTCCAGTTCACCTCCAGTACCAAACTGGTTCTGGTTCTGGAGGTCGAGGTGGGCCGTGGTCTGGTTCTGGTTCAGATCAGACACAGAGAGACAGTAACGCTGTGATTTCTGGTTCTGGTTCTGGTTCTGGTTCTACATTACATTACTGGTTCTTACCTGGCAGGAGTAACTGAAGCTCTTCAGCAGGTAGGAAAGGTCAGACGGTGGTTCAGGTCTGCTCCAATCTGGATTATCAAAACCTGGATCGTGATTTTGGTTGGAGAAGTAGTGCTGGAGCGGGGAGAGGAGGTGAGGGGAGGTCACCTGGGAGTGGGGGGCGAAGTGGGGGGAGGTGACATTGGAATGAAGGAGGTGATGAGGGGAGGTTACCTGAGCGCGAGGAAGGAGGTGAGGGCTCGTTATCTGGGGCTGATTATGGTGAGGGGAGGACACCTGGGGTGGGGGGAGGTGAGGGGAGGACACCTGGTACTGGGACACACAGTTAGGGGAGGTGACCTGGTTGTGATAGAGGAAGTGAGGGGAGGACACCTGGGTCTCGGGTACGATGGGAGGGGAGGTTACCTGGAGCTGACACGGGTAAGGGGAGGTTGCCTGAGGGTGGGAGTAGTGAGGGGAGGTCACCTGAGGAGGAGGCAGGTGATGAGGAGATGTTACCTGTTGCTCAGGGAGGTGATAGGAGGGAACCTGGGGGAGAGGAGGTGCACAAACAAGTTAATAAGTATAAAACATTAAAGCATAAAGTCGTCCAATCAGAGCGTGAATAAGAACCTTGGCGTGAGGAGGGTTTCCATGGTTTCCGGTTGACGTGGGGGAGGAGAGGGGAGGAGGGGAAGAGATGAACGGAGAGGAGTGATGGATGATGGGAGAGGACGAGGAAAACGGCCACAAGTCAGACATGATGTCACGCACACACACACCTGTTAACACTGAGTCCAGGTGTGTTCATGTGCATGATTGTGTGTGTGTGTGTGCGTTAACTGGGCGCCGTCTTCACGTGAATCTGAGGATCTGCAGGACGACACAAAGGACGCGAGGTCAGTCGCAGATGGCGGGCTCTGATGGTGCAGGTGGAGCACAGCGACCTGGTTTTAGCTTTAATAGACAGGAAACGAGCGATGAGCCTCACTGATCCTGTTACAGATGTTACAGATGTTACAGATGTTACTGGAGTTACTGAGTCTTCAGGCTGCAGTCAAATGTTAATTAAGTGGAGATGTAACGAGTCTGTTTCATTACTGTCAGCGCACAGACCACACAGCAGCTCTATATGAGTAAGTGTGAACGTGTGACACCAGGACACTTCTAAGAATTCACACCCAGACGATTAAAACTTCTCTTAAAGTGACAACGACGAGTTTAATTTCACACAAAAATCAACACAAATTATATTCTGTGTTCGATTCTCTCGTCTGTGTTTGTCTGAATTAGTCGTCGTTCAGTTAACGAGCAGATAAAAACTTCACTGACGTCGTCACAAAAACACTAAAAATTCATTTTTATAAATTTGATATCAAACAGTGGGCGACATTATTTATCATTTCCTCTTTAACATCTTTTAAACCATAAAACTCCAAATGTAGAAAGACACAGAGTTCATAAGGACATACTGTTAGTAGATACAAAGAGAGCAACAGCACTGATAACATCGTCAGTTAGTTTAAATAAAATCTAAATGAAATAACCTCTCACCTGAAACATCATCGACTCCGACTGCCTGACTGACTGCCTGTGTGTGTGTGTGTGTCAGGATGTGGTCACATGTTCTTCCTCTCTCTGGTCGGTCTCTTCAGACTCTGCTTCTTCCTTCTGATGATGATCTCAGACGCTGGTGAGACTGAAGAGCTCGCACCAACAAAGATAAATGTAATTATAGTGCAATTAAAATAACAAAATACAGAAAGTTTAATGAAATAAAAACTAGATAAAGTGTTATTGTAGTATTCTGTTGTAATGTTGACAGTATCAGTGTGCTCAGCTCTTTTATGCAGAGTTAGGACAGTAGAGTCAAACTTAGTGTATTTTATCTCCTATAATCATTTCAAACTGCCATTAAACAGATTCTTAAAAGCTTTCTTCGGTTTTTTTGCCTTCAGTCGAAACTTCCTGAAATCACACAGATGTTGAGATCTGTAAGATTTTGCTAATTAATGGAGCCTGACTGAAGTTAATTTACTGTAACTTAACCCTCACCCGCTTTTAATTAGAGTATTGTTATTATTAGGGTACATGTTTTTCTACTAATTAATATTTATACTGATCATTTCTATTTATTCATATATATATATATGAATATTATATAATTATATATATGTATTTATTTTTATAGACACATAACAAAGCTCTGTCCTGCCAATAACACGCGCTCATTGTTTGTTTTATTATTTGTTCAATAAACTAATAATTATTCTTTTCCTCGTAATCGGAACCTTTGTCAGGCAGCTCGCGGCGCTGCACGGCGCCTTCACAGCGTGGGACCGAGGTCAGAGAGAGGAACCGGAAGTCTGTCGGTTTTAAGCGATTGTACCTTCAGAATAAAAGACAATAAGAGTCTCAGTAAAATAATAATTAATTCTTTAAAATCTGTTTTTAATCAATACAACCAATCAGGACAGCGATATCAAAAGTATAAAACAGAATTAAAATTAAGTACATACAAATAATAATCAAAACGTTTCAGAGAGATGTACCAATCATATTTTATTATTTACACAAATCACAAGAATAATAAATCTGCTGTAAAATAATAGTTATAAAACATTATATATGAAAGGTACAGATAGTAGTATTTTGTATCTGAGGTTGAATCTAGTTTATAACTCTTGAATAATTGGGAAAGCAGCATTTTACTGTATAAACGACATCGCGTGTGCAGTGATTTAACTATTAAATTAAACTACATTTAATTATATTTTGGGGTCTAAATTACTCAGATGTTAAAATATTACCTCCTTAAAAGCTCACGATGTGTAATTTATGTGTAGAATCAGAGAAAACAGAAAACAAAAGAGAAAACAGAAAACATCTAAACCGCTGCTTTATTCTGACGAGTCGCTTTTATTTTGAAGCTTGAGAGCGGAAGTTGATTGACGCCGGTGCGCTCGCTCTCCGTCCGGCTCAGGTCAGCGCGAGACCAACCGTCCTCAGCTTAATTTAAATTAACGGTATTAACGTCATTAACCGCCCGCTGACGTCATTAACCGCCCGTTAACGGCCGTTTGTTGAAATGTGACGAAGTAAAGTCGTGACGTGGTTTCCGGTGATAACGGCGGGACGTAATGCTAACGCTAATGCTAACGGCTGTAGGACAGAAGGAGGAGTCAGTGACGTCACAGTTTATTTCAGGAAGTGTGACGTCACTGAAGTTAACGCAATAATATATTATTATAATATCATTGACTCTACTATACCGCCTTACTCCTGCATCAATAAATATTATACTATACATATATTTCCTGACTAATCACTATATTATCACTATACAAGTATCCATAATCTATAGTTCATTACTACCATATATTACAAAGTCCACAACTCCAATACCTACCTTATATATATACAGCGCTAAGTAATAACTATCACTAATGCGATAATACAGTATAATATCTATCACATATGTTCCAATCAGATTGTTTTAATCCTGGACACTAAAGCGCGCCAGCTAAAGAACAGGAACGCGACGGAAGCCTGAGCAGGCTTCCGTCTCACCCGCTATCAAACCAGCTTCTGTAAAACCACTCATACATAATTTATATATTCCTCATATTCCTAATATTATGAATATGTTATATAATAATCTCATCAGTACCATCTTATATACCCCTACACTGGAACTCATATATGCTGTATATGTGTATATATACCTCATCTAATATCGCTTATAAGTCCTATTGTAAATTAATTCACTATCTTCTATCTATTTATACATATTCACACATTATGATTTATTCTTATATCAATTATATTTACTTTATACATGCATTCATTATTCCTTTTATTTATAATATTGAATTATTTTATAAGTCATATTTGATATGTATGCTCTGATATATTACATAAACTATTCTATAATCAATAATCATTTATCAGAAAACTGAACTCCTGTATTATAATATGTTTCACGCAGAGCATCACATAAACATCATTCACCGTAATCACTCTTTCAACTAATGAGCCGTATCAGAGACTTTAAATGACGTCATGCACCGAGTCTTTAACTATCGAATGCACGAATGATACACACAACGTTAGTATCTTGATACACAACTAAGAGTTTTTTTGTTGGTTTGTCTTCTGGTCACAGATGTCTTCGCACGTGGGAAGTGACGGAGCGCGCCCGATGGATGAATCACACAGCAGTGGCGCGTGGCTCTGCCGCAGGGCTCGGCGTTCGGTCGGCCTTCCACCTCCGCTGCGAGCGGCGGGCCTGGGTTAGCCGCTCGGTCACAGACGCCAGCTGTACACCGAACCAACATGGCTAACATAGAGAGAAGAAAGACGCCAACAAAGATAAATGAGATGGAGCGCGCGGCGTCCTGACCTCGCTGTGAGGAGCCGACCGAGACACCGTGGTCATCGGGCGCCACCAGAACCCCTGGGCCGAGTGCGACCTGGCAGCCATGAGGAGGGCGGGGATCCCTCTGGCCCGCAGGCGCAGCGGCGGCGGGACCGTGTTCCACGACCTCGGGAACCTCAACCTGACGTTCTTCGCCTCCAGGAAGGCGTACGACCGGCAGAGGAACCTGAAGGTGATCACCGACGCTCTGAGGAGGATCCGACCCGGACTGCAGGTCCACGCCACCGACAGGCTCGACATCGTACTGAACGGACACCTGAAGATCTCAGGTACGTGTCCCAGAATGCACCGCGTGCTGCTGCTGTTGTTTGTTGTTGTTTGTGATGTTGTTGTTGACGTTTGCAGGCAGCGCGTCCAGACTGAGCAGGAAGTCGTCGTACCACCACTGCACCCTGCTGCACTCCGCTGACCGCTCCGCCCTCGCCGCCGTGCTCCGCCCCTCCTGCCCCGGTATCCATAGCAACGCCACGCCCAGCGTCCCCTCGCCTGTCGCCAACCTGCTGGACCACGCCCCCTCGCTGCAGTGGGAGGAGCTGCTGGACGCACTGGCGCACCAGTTCAGTGCAGGTAAACAGTGATGCAGAGACGTACTGCAGGGTGTGTCAGTACACTGTGACATCACTCTTACCTAACCAGCTGTTTCTCCTGTTCAGAGTTCAGCTCCGGCGCCGCGGCGACCCTCGTCGACCCCGCTGATGAGTCGGCGTTCCCTGGACTCGGGCGTG